CGAGGATCGAGTCAAAATAGCACAAAATTTAAGGAGTTCATTCAAACGGTTTCCCCTCTGGTGAATGACTTGCGACACAAGAAATCTGAGACACTTGTTTCACAATTTGCATCACCAAAATATTTTTGATTGATCAAAAAATATAATGGAGAACTTGCAGGTGTCCGAAATTTGATGAATTCCTTGTTTGAATGGACGCTACCAAGTGAGCTGAACACGAGGATACCTTTGAACCATAAACCGAACAATTATTGAAATAGCCTTCATGCACGCTCGCCTTTCCGATTCCCGTTCACATTTTTGTGTCCGCGGATACCCGCGGATATTCGAGCATGCTCGAAACGGCAAAAAACGATCGTTTTTGACCATTTTTCGGCCCAGGAAGCTCCTTCAAGACTCGAGACTACGTGGAATCGATTCTACGCCTCGAAATACATAGAATTCGATACTAATATCGATTTTTTTTGACCATCAGAAATCCAGTAAAATCGACAGTTTTTATAGGAGGATTGAAAACAAACAAATGGTAGGAAATAAACATAATAATAAGAACTTTGCAAAACGATAATCCGGGTATCGGAACTTGGCTGTCTTGAAAACGCCTTCAAATGCGGCGTGATACCTCACGCATTCCGGAGAGTTCAAATAGTTGTATCATTGCGCCTTAGAAATGCGACGGCAGATTACAATTGAAATAGCCTCCATACACGCTGGGCTTGTCAGTTTCCCTTGACATTTTTGCAGTGGTAAATGCATAGCTCAAGTGCGCTCCAGCTAGAATTGTATATGTATTTAGCAAATGGGTGGTTTTTATACGAGGTTCAAAACTCCACAAATTGTACGGAATATAACAAAATCTTATGAACCATGCAAAACGATAAACCGGGTATCGGATCTTGGCTGTTTTTGAAAACGCCTTCAAATGCGGCGTGATACCTCACGCATTCCGGAGAGTTCAAATAGTTGTATCATTGCGCCGTAAGAATGTGACATAAGATTATAATAATTATTGGAGGAGATAATACATAATGATCTATTCTGCTAAAATAAATGCATTTCTATGAGAAATATCGCCAGATGACGTAACTAGGCGGCGCATTTCCTCACTTTTAAAGATATTTTTATACTATTTCTCATAGCCGAAAAAATTCTTGAAGAGTATACCGCAAAATCAGCTCTTTAGGCACTTTCAGGTGAAGCAATAAATAATTTGCGTGCAAAGTCTCAATTCCGTAAGCCCGATACTTCGGGTCAATATTCCGAGCCGATTCGGTGCAGGTGGTGGCGGCTTGACTGTCCCGGTCCCCCGATGGCGGGAAAAATAGAGGGATCGAATGGCGGGCCCCGCGCCCCTCGCACCCTTTAAAATATCGGTTTCTCCGTTCGTCCCGCGGGGAGGTGCGTAGTTTTCCATTTTTTTGGGCGATTTTTTCCCAGTCGTCTGATGACTCGGCTGCCCGAGGCGTATGACGTCATGAAAATCGCAGGGGTGCAGAATTTACGGCGGAAGCGTAGTGCATCGTCGTGCCGGCCGCGCCGCTTCGCCTGTAGGTTCTATTGACGCCACCGCCACATAAACGGCACGGAGCTCCTATCAATGAAATCATTTTTTTTCTTCTTTTTTTTGGAGAGCTTGCGTTCTCTAGATGTGGGTCACAAGGTTAAAACGTTAAAAACACTAAAAAAGCAGTGTGAAAAGTGCTGGTAGACGGAGAAAAAAAACTCGTGCGTGGGACCCGAAGTTCAGGTCATATGGATGTCTGAAGTTTTCGGATTGAGCATCTGAACATTTTAGGTCTAGCCGTCGAGGTTCGGATCACACATCTGAAACTTCAGTTACTACATTTGAAACTTCAGTTCTTACATCTGAAGTACTTCGGTTTTCACATCCGAAAAACTTCGGTTCTCACATCCGAAATACTTCGGTTCTCACATCTGAAGTACTTCAGATGTAAGAACTGAAGTTTCAGATGTAATAACTGAAGTTTCAGATGTGTGATTCGAACCTCGACAGCTAGACCTAAAGTGTTCAGATGCTCAATCCGAAAACTTCAGAGATCCATATCTCCTAATCTGCCAACAGGGGCATTTATCGTTGTCTTTGAGTCTCACGCGAGAAAAGTTTTCTGAAAATAACCCGCACTAGAAAAAAAAACACATTGGATCTGGAGTCCAGACTCTTAAAAATATCGACAAGAAAAAGTACTCTTGAATTGATTCAATCAGAATCTAACTTAAATCAAGAACCAAGCCTCTTAATTTAAGCGCATTTCCTTTTGATTCAAGCAAAAATCCGATTGAATCAAGAGTATTTTTTCTTGTCAATGTTTTCAAGAGTCTGGACTCTAGATCCAATGTGTTTTTTTCCAGTACTTGACCGATTCTCATCCTTGATATTATATTTGCACCTTTTCTGCATAATATTATACGGCTGAACCAGGGTTTGGTTGAGATGGTTGGGCGGATCTCTATCCGATTGAACTGAATAGATGGAAGAGATACGTTGCGGTAGGTGTTTGAGAATAATGGACCCCTACACTAAGTTTGACCTAGGAATGAATGTCACCTGCCTTCTCTTAAAAATTTTACGTAAAAAACTATTCATGCAACGAGAAGTTTGGAGATCAACGTTTGAACGAGATATTAACAGCTTGACCAAAGTGCGAAGCCACGTATCTGCTTTTGCGAAGTTGTAGACTCCCTGCCATACTTAATTTTTCTCATGAAAACTATTCAACTTAATTTATTTAAAACTATCTTAATTTTTCCTCTTCTTCAGCAGAATATTTTACATAATGGAGAATATGCGCCCAAATTTTTAATTGCTTTATCTGAAAGTACCGTAAGAGCTGATTTTGCAGTACTTTTTATAATTTTTTCCGGTTATGGGAAATAGTATCAAAATAGATTTAAAAGTGAGAAAATGAGACTAGTGACTTTATCTGGTGGCATTTCCCATTTAAACGCATGTATTTTATCAGATTAGATCCTTTTGTCATATATCTCCTCCGATAATTGTTCAATTTATTTATGAACCAAGCGTGTCCTCGTGTTCAGCTCACTTGATAGCGTCCATTCAAACACGGAATTCATCAAATCAGACACCTGCAAATTCTCCATTTCAAGCTTTAAAGTTAGCTTCTTCCTCATTTAAACAAATTGAAAGAAATGAGTTAACAAAAAGCAGGAAAATGTCCACAATACTTCTATTCTAGGATTGCAGGCTCGCGGCGTACACTGATTGGATATTGTGTGCACCTCGGGCGGTAGGTCTAAAGCGGTAGATATACCCGTGAGTTATAGGACGCGTGTGTTTAAAGTGAAACACCAATCGGTAACGAGGATTTTGATGATAAAAGTCCTAACCCTAAATTAACTCCTAACCGTGGTAAGAACGTTTTGCATGACTAAATTGAAATTTTCCGCTCATGGGAGAAAAATTAATTTACGTGGGTTGAATTGCATGCTAAACTTCACTATCACAGTCTCAACCGTATAAAAATATGGTAACCTCATTTTTGTTGCATTTGCTCAGCTACAGCAAGCTTTACACACTTTGAACAACACAGGGTGGGAAAGAAACAATGCTCGATTGCGTAGTCTGCAGTCTGCTATAGCCGTTGTGGCGCGATTTGACTAGTGCAGAGTATTGTTTTTTTTTGTGGCCGAGCAATTCAAATTCCCCGTGACCAATGTACGATAAAAAGTTATTATCTTGGCTAGGAGTTGATTTCAGTAGTTTTCGTTGCGCGAATCGTGCTCTACGTCAAATTCTGGTGAGGAATCATGTATAGGAGTGCTTTAATCCGTGCCTTGTTTAATGGTTCATTCAATTCTGAAAAAGCGAACATTTTCCTAGCGAGAATTTTCCTAGCTTCCCTCGTAAAAAAATATTTTATCGGAAGTAACGAGGTAACGATGGAATGCTCATACGGCGTCTAAACACAACATGGGCTTTTTAAGCCCCATTACCCGATGCCGTGATTATTCTAACGCGAGTTCGAATAATCGCGACAAATACTGGGCGGCCGGTGCGGCGTTAAACGCTCATTAGCGCCTGCAAGACTGTATGAATACTTCAAGCATTGCGCCAAATAGTGCAGTCGGCGTGACGCACATATTAGCGCCTACAAGGCTGCATGAATACTTCTCGCATTGCGTCTAACGCAGAGCAGTGACGGTCAGGTGGTATGAAACGCATATTAGCGCATACGAGACAGTGGGAATACATAATACAGTGCGCGCTTTAATCTTTGTAATTTCTCGGTGTCAGGTCTACCACCTGTATTTAAAAAAAAAAAAAAAAAAAAAAAAAAAAAATTGCAAATTTTGTTTCCGACTTCGCCCGTTGCCTCGTTCTTCTGTGCGTCGTTGTCCTGCAATTTTGATGATTTCAGTCTTGGAGAATCCGTATATAAAGCGTGGACGTCCGACAAGATAAAACTAATACTAATAAAAAAAAGAAATAAAAAAAACAGAACGGACGAAAATGTTGCGTCAAAATTGTTTTCGATTTATTTGAAATTATTTAGGGAAATTCGCGGAAACTCTCCAGAAAGACTATGTGTAGCTTTTTAAAAACACTGATTAAAAATAAAACATAAAAGTGGTGCAAGACGTTGCAATCAAAGAAAAATACGCTTCCTTTTGCGTGCACCCATCGGTTTTTGAATCTATTTATTCTTTAAATAACTTAAACATAATTGTTCTAAAATTGTTAACGTGCAGTTCTTCTTCAGTGGATGGTAGCCGCGCAGCGGCCACAAGTCCTTAGTTGACTTTAAGTCGTTATGTAAGGCCAAAATATGTCAGTCCGAGCGGAGGTAACGAGAATTTGAAGTCTCTCTTTCAAAGAAAGTTGATTACAGACCAAATCACCTAAAATTTTGATACGTCATTTCTGAGACTTAAAATGGTCAAACTATTAAGTAGATTTTTTTTAATGCTTATCGAATGTGGATGAATTAAACGGAGCAAAGAAATTACGATACAAGAAGTTGTACTTGTTCATGAAATGTATTGTGTAGTTTTTACAATTGAGTTTTACAAAATTGTAAACGCCCTTAAACAGCAATAAATAAACTGACAAAAAATAAATAAATAAGAAATAGAAAAATAAAATAAAAAATTGTTAGGAAAAATGCGAATTTATGTCCTTAGGACGGGTTCACTAAATGCTTTTATTTTCTTCAAGCTGAACTTGCAGTCGGGCGAACCTATTTCTTCAGCTAAAAGAGACGAAGTTCAGTTTGGTAAATCGAAGGTCTGTTTCAGTGGCGAGGCGTGAGTGAAACAAAGTATGCGCAACAAGTAAGCGCTAAAAAGTATGCTATTGAGCAAGTCGACGGTGTAAGTCGGCAATCACACAACTCGGTTTGCGACGTCATAGACTACCTGTCATACTTTTTTTTTTAAACAGAAAACTACTCAACGGCAATTCTCTAAAACTGCCATGATTTTTCTTCTCTGTGCGGGGAAAATTCTGCAAAAACTTCGTGGAATTATATCAATTTGTTCTCTTTTAAAAAAATAACATTGAAGCGGAGATTTTCAGGCACCGCAAACGAGATTTGCGATTGCGGACTTACGCCGTCGAAGTGAATTTAAAACAGGTGTCGTGGTTGGAAACACAAATAAAGTATCTTTCACGCCACTTCTCGGAGCAAACTAAAAAAGCAAACTGCTCAGACGTTTTGTTCCCCTTCAGCAATCGTGCTAAAAGCCCCGTTGCATTTTTAAGTTTTAGGTCACGCTAAAGTTCCATTATATTCGGTTTTGCTCTTCACTCACGTCCTCATGTGCGAGGAGCTTGATAACTCGCAAAGAGTATGACGGAACGCTTGCTTGCATCAAACTTAGGCAGTACCGAGTCGTGAAAGATCGATTATCCATGTATACCCATTTAAAGCTATGGTAAAGAATCGATTTAGGAGGTGTTCGGTGCGAAAACCAGCTTCATCGATAATTTTCATAGGTTTAAATGGTAGATCAATATATTTATCGCAAAGCACGCCACGCCTCTGGTTTGTTCAACGGGACGAGGTCTTCGTTCACCGATCCAAAAAACTCCATTCAATCCGGGACAAGTTGCACATGAATCAGACTTATTCAGTTCGTGGAACTAAGCTTTCCATTCCATCATACTTAGCTTCTTATCATTTTTAGCTACATTAGCTAAAAATATTAGGATCAGTCCAAACCGCAACTTTCTATGTTCAATACTAACCGAGATATCGCCCTTTGAGAAGTCGGGTTTTTGACGTCATCCACCGCGGTGGTGACACCCTTGGTTTCTTCCGCCTTGGTTTTATCAGTCACGGGGACACACATTAGCACTGGTTACTCTGCGTAAAACGCGGACGAAAGCAAGGTGGAATAAACCAACGGTGTCACTACCGCGGCGAATGACGTCAAAAACCCGACTTTTCGAAAGGCGATATCTCGGTTAATATTGAACGTAGAAAGTTGCGGTTCGGACGGATATTATTATTTTTCGCTAATCTACAAAAATCAATCATCAAAACACGATTCTGTGACCAGCGCAACTGACCCACTGAAGAAGTCGGTTCGCTCGATTCATAGCTGATTCCTTTGAACCGAAAAGCACCTCTTGAACTTATCGATCCGCGTAACCGACATTTCCCTTTCTTCTTGCAATTGATCGCATCTGGCACGTTCTGTAGTTCCAGGTCCAGATCCAGATTTTTTTTTTTTTTTTCTTAAATCTTTACTTGTCCATGTTCTGGGCATCCTCTACTGTGTCCGGCAGTTTCCGGTGAAGAGTTTCCGGGAACAGCGAAGCCAAGGCGCCAGCCGTCAGTGCCACTGCGGCGAATAACAATATTGGCACCTGAGTTCCGAAATACGTTGCCTGCGAAAAAAAAGGAAATATTTTACCAAGATTTTCCTTGAGGTGCTAGAAAATGAGATGTTGCATGTGTGAGGAATTTGCGAATTGACTGTTGATTGTCATGTAAAAGTTCGCGAGAAACACGATGGTGCCACTGGTTTTCTTTGAAATCAACTCCCAAGCTCAAAAAAGCTCTCAAGTTGAGGCCAAAATGGAGGGGATATCCCACGCTATCCTGAGAGTCCACCTCTACATCAAGACGAACTCACCATGCAAAACATAGGGCGCATTTACATTAGCAGGGGTGCCGTCTTTTCAGTCTTAGAGTCCTCAAATAAAGTGGCAGCCCTGTCAATGTATTTCCTCCCTTTCTTTGCATGGAGAGTTCGTCTTCATGTAGAGGTGTACTCTCACGATAGCGTGGGATATCCCCTCCATTTTGGCCTCACTTTGAGAGCCTTTTTTGAGCTTGGGAGATGATTTCAGAGAAAACCAGTGGCACCATCGTATTTCTCGCAAACTTTTACATAAAAATCGATGGTCAAATCGCAAATTCCTCACAAATGCAACATCTCCATTAAAGTGATTCAATGGACGCCATATTTTGTAAGAAAACAAAAAGAAAATTAAGTTTATTGATGGAAGCGGTTGGTTGCAATGAACGAAGGAGTTAAGTAATGCACTAACTAACTATTGGCAACCCACGTGAGACCCTATAGTTAGTCCATCATAAATGATAATCACTCGAATTTTTTCACAGTAATCTGCAAAGGATTACATATAATAACGCTTTCTAATGCGCGATTTATTGCTCTACTCCTCAATTAATATTAAGTAAATTTCGAGAATGTGCTTTCTGTTCCGCGGTAAGAAGTCAGCGTAACAGACAGCACATTATCGGACATTTATATAATAAAATTGAAAAGTAGAGCGATAAATCATTGAAAAGCGTTATGATACGAAACCCTGTGTAGATTAATGCAAAAAAATTCGAGTGATTATCATTACCACTAAAAATATGACCGAAAAATGTGTCGTCTGTTACGGCGACAAAACTATTCCAGTTATCGTGAAACCACCCATGAAGGGCCTCTAATGAGCCCTGTGTGATTTACGAGCTTTAGTTTTAAAATTTGATTTCAGTTTTCCGTATCTCTTGCGTGCAAGAGACCCATTCTGTGATTGGAGGGACCGGTCAACTCACATTCTACGAGAGGAAAATTCCATGTGACAAAAAATTGACGTACGAGAAGCGGAGTTTGCGGTGCTATCATAGATCCAACGCGACCGAGCATTGAACAAGTGCCGAGCAAGGAATTACGGAGCTCTGTTGGAAACATCTCAATTGTGAAGACGTAGATGACCGTGAACGACATCGTGATCACGAGCTTCCCGATCATGTACAAGCTCATCCGAAGCATCACCATTTCTGCAAACGAAAAAAATGAAATTGCAGCAAAAACACGGGGAAAAGGCCTCGATAGACGATCAAATTCCCGAACCAATTCCGATCAAAGTAGCATCAAAGTGTCGGGAGTCATCAGTCTTAAACTCATTAATATGCTTCATTTTAAAATGAAAACTTGGCAGAAATGTTTCCTGTGGCAGGAAATGATGAATGGTGGCACTCCGTTCTGATCTTACTTTGAACAAAAAAGTGCGGCCCGTCAAAATTTGATGGTAGGTGGTGACCACCAGTCATCAGCATGTCTACTTTGATCGGAATTGGTTCGGAATTTGATCGTCTATGCAGGGCTTAAAGGTTGTGAATAAAAACAAGCGGTGAACTCCAACACAATACCGTGTTGATGAGGCGCGTCGTTAACTCGCACATATCAACCCCATTAGTTTTCATTTACAGAGATTTCAAAATAGGCAAGCAGCACAACAAGAGAGTTCACGATCCATCACTGCGAGGTCAACGACGCACCATGCCGAGACCGTGTTTTGTGAATGTAGAAAGCCATTCGAACGAGTCTAAGTTTTTTGATCTGCCTCATGCCGCAATCACACGCTGAATAAGGGAGCTGAATGTGGAAGTCATCGGCCCGATGCCTGAATTTTGCGCGTCACGCGAAAAATTCAGCAACGATTCTCAGCAACCATCGGACTAATGTTGGATTTGTCTGAACTATTCGAGTAGATTTGATATACATCTGGATGAAAATAACTCGAATTTGCTAAATTTCAGCCGTTGGGCGATGACTGTTGACTCCACATTTAGCTGCTAAATTCAGCGTGTGATTGCGGCATCAAGTAAAATATTATCAGATTCTTGAAGAAAAGTGCTGCGGAATAATTTAAGCGAGGAGAGGAAAAATTCTGTCGAACTCCTGAAAGATAAAGTCGATTTAAAGGTATTTTGGGGCTAAAATAGGTACCCAAATCACCGGTAGTATAAATCCCGTTGTGATCTTGAAAAGAAATTGACTCGATATAAATGCAATTACGTTAAATGTGTCTTGCTTTTGTTATTTTATACGTCTCTCCATGCAAAGAAGTTCATGTCCATGCTTTATTCATTCATGAATTGAAAGTAAGCAATCTACATCCCGAAAATCTACCGATTTGCCGTGAAAAATCGCAGAGACTTACCAGGTCGATGTACCCACCCGTTGAATTTACCAATCAATTTCGTGAGTGAAAATATGTTAAAGTCATTGTGCTATAGTCATTTCGGGTGCATTTACTTTTCATGGAATAATAATAAGTAATTTCCATCCCGAAAAACCATCATACCACGTATCTGGTTTGCGTGGTTTAGAATCTCTGCTCTTTCTTTTTTTTATGTTGTTTTGTAGGCCTCACTGCTCCTACTTGTATTCTACTCGCAGTTCATACCGCTAAACTTTTCTCTCAGCGATGACGTCATTCTGATGTCGCTGTCATGCCACTGTGTGACAGAGATGAGACCAGTGAGACATGGTACTTCAATATCGTTCTGCTTCATCTCATTACCTAAAATAGACCTCGAAGGATTCCACTTTTCCATTCCACCTTCTATTCGAATTGCCAGATTGTGCGATAGATGTGAATATTTTACATGGGTTTGAAAGGAGAAAAGTGCTGGCAAAGCAGCATATCTGGCAACAGTAGAGTCTAGGAGGGAGTCTTGTGGGTTTCCCTCCTAGGAAAACCCACAATTTAGTCGGAAATATCATCAAAACAAATTTGTTCCGTTGGAGCATCAAATGTATTCCAGGGAAAGCTATTTTAAAACGAAAATTGTAAATGGACGCAGATGCTACAAAAAAGAAAAAATGAAAGGAAAAAAAGACGATAATAAAACGTGAACAGTGCTGTTTTTCTAATATCTTACCTTCAGTTCATATATTTTAGTCCCTGGTAAAAATTGGCAGTAGAATCTGTGTTCCAAAATCCCATAGACCTACAGCCGGCTGTAAGATTTCCAATAGCTTTTATAGCCGGCTACACAATTTCTCATAGCATTTTATAGCCGATGGCGACTAAGCAACTCACAGCCAGGCGAAAGTGTATGCTAAACGTTACTAATTACGAATGCTGCGACTTATTGAGTTTTTGGACTACTGCTCTCTTTTTGAGCCGTAGTACCTAGATTTATTTTGCAAGGAAAGCTCCGTATTTTTGATGGATGCCTGCCATTCCTAATATATTAGAGCGCTTTCAGTCTCGTACGATACTGTGCAATACCTCTGGCTCGTGTGAAATAGTTGCTTCAAGCACCTTGGCACACTGCGGTGCGGCAGGCGGGCAGCCAGCAAACGCGCATTGGCGCCTACAAACCTAACAGGATACTTCACGCGTTGCGCAATGCGTGAAGTATCCCTGTTAGGTTTGTAGGCGCCAGTGCGTCGCCGCTCCGCTTTGTGTGAGGCTCTAATATTTAATCTGGCGGAGTCAGCGTTATTCAACTCATGATTTTGAAATGTTTGCACATCCTGTATGGATTATTCTCGTTTTAATTGATGAAAAAAAATATGTATTAAAGGAAAATATAATGTGTGTTTTGTAAATATTAAGGAGGTTCCGTATCAAACTTAATAATTTCCAAGAAAGCACACGAATTTCAACACAAATTCTTATAGCCTTTTATAATCGATGGCGGAAAAGCAACAGCCAGGCGATAAAGTGTAAAGCCCGGCGATGGGAACTATAGCCCGGCTGCATACTTTTTTATCGCTTCGTATAGCCCGGCCGTATGATTTTCTCCGCATTCTACAGCCAGTTATATGATTTTCTGTAGCCTTCTTTAGCCGGCTATAAAAATTCCTATGGTATTTTGAATCGCAGCTCTTATCGCCAATTTTTACCAGGGGTAGAATAAATGATTATCGTTTATTACATGAATATCCAAAAAGAGGATGTAATTACTCGTGCAATCAGAGAGAATAAAACAAAAACATCAGAGAAATTCATATGCAACGAAACCATCAAAAATCACAAGTGGGCTCATAGCGATTCGGAACTCGAGTTATACAGTCGTTAAGCAGTTTTTTAGACCACTGCGACACTGATAATCTTCTTCAGAAGCAAATATGAACTTCTGCAGCTATTTCAGTGAGTCAAGTCGTGAAAAGAGATCCATGGTTGTCGCTTTCCTTCACCCGATGGGACTGACGACTCAGTCAAATGCGTTTTTAAAGAAATGATCGATCCTTATCATTGCTTCATCTCCATATATTTATTAATGTGCAAATGACGGCACGCTCCGGTGACAAGATTCTGTGACAAAACAATTTTTGTTCTGGGAGTCTCCAAAATATTTACATTATAGTGATCGAATGTCCAACTACTCGGAAAAAGGGCTCAGGGGGGGGGGGGGGTCGGGGCGAATTTTCATGGCTAGTAAAACTTGTGATAGATGCTATTCTCGCGTTAAAGGATTGTCATGTTTGCGGTATTTAAAAATCTCCCACCCCCTTTTTATATTTTTTGATGGAGAACAAATCAGTATCATTCCTTGCACTGTTCACAGTTTTCTTTGGACAGAGAAAAAACTCAGGGAGGTTTTCAAGAATTGACGTTGAGCAGTTTTCCAT